ATCTCAAACGAGGTATGGTATATGATTTTTTTAACTACTAACACTATTATTGTCTATAATTTCAAATCAACTCCTTCTTGTTTATTTGAGCAGCGCCACCTCTACCAGTTTTTCAAAGATCTAGGCAGCACTCTAGGCCAAATCTTATATAAAATTTTACTCTTCCTTTACGACACCTTGCGTCTAAAAATTAATATTTATCTGTACCTATCTATACGAATTTCAACACTACCGGTTTTACAGATAAGCCTCAAACTATGGGCATATGAAAGTCTAGAGTATAAACTGAGCGTTCTTTTTGGCAATATTCTAGGGAAACGAGGTAGCATGTGAAAAACATCATCTACTTGCGACGATCTGTTGGGTCGGAACGTATAAAAACAGCTGAAGCTGAAGTGACCTACTGCCAGAAAAAAGGGGAGGATTAACAAGGTCGAATAGCTAAAATTAAGAATAGGCTGATATAGAGAGGGTAGATATCGAAAAACTGTAGGCCGGACTTTTGACCTTAAAAAAATGCCAGCAGGTCGGTTGACTCTGCATTCCCTACTCAACGCCGTCATCAGTTCATAATGGTTTAAATCTTCTGAGAAAAATTGAGTTACAGACATGTACAGGGTGCGGCAGAGAGGATGGACGGTTTTAAAAAAATCATAAAATAGTTAATTTTTACTCGAAAACAGATTTATTGATGGAATCAGGTTCACAAGGAAATAGCATTTGAGACAGTCAAGTGTAGAAAATCACATCAGGCATGTGGTGGCCGAAATCGTTGATGCAGTGCTGGAGGCGTTCTTGGAAGTTCGCGTAGACTCTCTCCAACATCGCTCTCTCAACTTGGACGACTTGGGCCACGCGAATTTCGCCCTTCAATTTGTCCAGAGTTCGGGGCTTGTTCGCGTATACTCTAGCCTTGAGGTGTCCCCATAAGAAAAAATCGCATATAGATAAATCTGGGGACTGAGGAGGCCAATGAACATCGCCAAACCTGGAAATAAGGCGACCAGGGAAGAGAGGGCGAATAACGTCCATGGATGCTCGGGCTGTGTGGGCGGTCGCCCCATCCTGCTGGAACCACACACGTCGGATTGGAACACGTCGCCGTCGTAATTCAGGGAGAAAGAAGTTGGCGATCATGTCGACGTAGCTCTCTGAGTACACGGTAACATCACAGTAACAGCGCATCAAACCGTTACTTTTGGGCTGTGCAGCGGTCTTTCGTGTAACTGTTGCGGATTTTCATTAGCCCAATAACGACAATTCTGCTGGTTAACCATGCTGTTTAGGTGAAAGTGGGCTTCGTCACTCATAAACAAAATGAGGTTCTCATTTTGATCGATCACGTGCGAAGTTCATTCGTTGTGCATAATCTCCGGGCTGTAACTGTTGCACAATGGCCAATTTGTAGGGGTGAAAGCGGAGATCCATATGCAAAATTCGCCTTACCGAACGATCACTAAGGCGAAGTGCAGCAGCATGTTTCCGGACAGATCGAGTCGGACTGCGAAGAAAGACCTGTCGAACGCGTTCAACAGTTTCAGGAGTTCGTACTGTTCGCGGCGCTCCTCTTGGTCTTCTGTTGATCAGTTCACCACGCCTGCGAAGTGACTCAACCCAACGAAGGATGGTGTTTCGAGAGGGAACAGCTCTATTCCGATGAATGTTGAAGTGGCTACGAAACTCACGCTGTACGACGATGACTGACTCATTATTTCGGACGAAACAATCATAGGCGAAAACGCGGTGCTCCACCGTACAAGGCTCCATAACGACAACTGGTAAAATAATGCCAGGATCTCACGAGTCAAACGGCACCCTCCCCATCTCTCTCGTAGACGGTGGCGGAGAGTACTACCCATCCCAAAAACGTCCGCCCTCTCTGCCGCACTCTGTACAACAGATAAATTAAACGTATTAAGTCAGTCAAACAGGCCCATACAATTAGTCTATTGATATTCTTTCCTTGCCCTACTGATGCTTACCGTCTATGTTTTAAGGTTGTGCCTTTTCACATCTGCGCGGCATCGCTGTAAGCTCTATTTTTTGCGCTTCGGAATGAGAACATTTCTCTTTCACTCTAAGTTTTAATAGTAAATTTACGGGTGTGTGAAATATGGCTAATAGGTGCATAGAATTACCGGGATTGGGAGCATATGAATATAGTGACATAAAAAATTTCAATAGCACAGTACAACCCCCTACCTCCAAATTTCAACTACTACAAAAAAAAAATCGAAAATAATAAGGATCCTCTAAAACGTCAAACCACGAGGTTTGAGCGATTCTGATTTTTTTTCTCCGCAACCGATTTTCAAAAATTACAACGCTTTTGCGCCCTTGGCATACTAGTAACACTGTGTAAAAATTCTAACAAAATCCGAGCGTTATTTTCTAAGTTATAGAGGGGTCATGGATCAGCGAACAGACAGAGACCGACGGAAATGAGTGACATGGTTTTTCGTGATGTCATATACCATCCAAAAAAATAGCACACACATTTTTCGGGAGAACAATACTTCCTAGTCCAGCGGCGTAAGAAGTATCAATTTTGATTTACCAACGTTCCAGCCACACCGTTAGTAAGCTTTCGTTTCTACATTTGACGGTTTTATTTAGCCACAGGATACGTTTTGGTGTTATACAGTAGCAATTTTGATATACTGGGTAATTTAATTATCGAGATCTCAAAAACAGTAAAGCCCGCCTCACGTGCCTCTTAGCTCTAACTAAATAGGTAATTAACCTTTACTCAGAAGCGATTGAAGACACGTGTTCGCGCCAAACTGTGTCCTCTGTGATTTGAATTCCGACGAGCCATACGAATGGATTCCTGACAATTTGAGTATCGATCAAAATCAGATGTGCGTCTTATTGCCTGTTGTTAGTTGAAGTACAATTGCAAGTATTTTGTCAATGAGGACAGGTCACTACCGCAGTCTTCTTATTAGCTCAATCGCAGAGAACTGTAGATCTGATTCATCAGAATTGTAAGAAAAAATAGAACTGCACGTTAAACATTTCTTACGAATGCTTTTATAACTACAGAGTGGTCAATGTAAAACTGGTTTGGTACGCTTGTAAATTCAAAATAAACCATCCAATGTTTTTATCACATTCTTCCATCGAAAGTTAGAAAGTATGTATGAAAAATGGAAGCCGCACAAACGTGCTCTAAAATACGGTTTCCTTCACTTTTTGGGAGATTTAGGAAGGAACATTTTGACTAAATACCGTCCCGATAGTTTATAATGCTTAACATGTACAATAGATCCCCACAGAAAGAAGTCTGGGGCTCTTGACTCTGGTGATTTTGGGGGCCACATGGCATTGCTCAATGGGGAGACTAAACGTAATCAAAAGGACTCAAGTTTATGCTGATGTATACATGTAATACCAACAATCAACTTTCCATGAAAGAAAAGTCAAACAATTCCGTCAGTTATATACAGGTCACCCTGTAACTAACGAACAACATCCAACCCTTATTAAAGTCCATCTAGCATTTTCTGAGGTTTCGTACAATGTCGTCAACGGAAAAAGCGTTGACACTTGAAGAGATTGCAATACAATCGGTGACAAATTTTTCTTGAGGTGGGTACTCAATCTTTTATATATAATACAATTGGTAGAGATTCTGGTAAAACTGATCGACTAATCAATGACACTTCTCTAACAGTCTCCGATCCCTTCGCAATGACGGGCGGTCGGCGATCCTGATCTCTTCTACCCCTATGTCAACAGACTTGGATCCTCGGGGCACTCCTCTATGATGCCGCAGTGCGTTGAGCCTGCTAGGTGAACCAGCCAGGCTTTTGCCTCCCATTCCCACTCTTTCGGTTTTAGCACATCGAGAACTGGCCGATAGGACCGCTCCTTTGTTCCTAGGATGTAGAGATTGTGGAACAGTCTGCCTGTGGAGGTTTTTTAAAGTTCTGCTAACCTCAGACAGAAATCGGGTTCTGCCTATGAGACTGCATCAGTTTAAAACAATATAAGACCTTTTTTCTCACTCCTACTGGTACGAATGTCAAAGAAATCACAAAGATTTAGATATACGTACGTAATCCTAGCGACAAACAATAAAGCAGAAAGCCAGAGTTCATTTATAAACCTGAATCTCCAACTGCACTTTACCTGATCAGATGGATACCACTTTAAACGAAAAAGCAGAACAGCAATATTTCTACGAAAATTACAGAGTAGAAGTAAAGGTTTACTTAACAAAATTACACCTTTGTCACGATAATCCCAGTACTTTACGACTATGATTCGTTTCCATTAACAAGTAATCTTGCTAATACGTAACAATTGATGCTAAGCAAACAATTCAAAGTAGAACTATTAAAAGGTTTAAAGCGATAATATGATATCTGTACAATATGAAATAAATACTTATTGTAAGATGAAATGCTGTGAGTCATATTCGGCATTATGTAATTTAAAAATATATGCTTGTTTTCGGAGATTGGAGTACGTGGAATTTTCAATGAGATTGTTTAGTACGCACTCTTAGCATAGTTGATTATTGTCCGGTATTTAGTAGCGTTAGAGGTATTAGTTTATCTGGAAGGCTGAATAGTTGCACACCTAGGTGAAAATTTATCAAGGTGTTTAGTAGTAACCCTGATTAGTCTACCCTACCAGAAGATAGACAACTATGTACCGTACTTTCGCATCCACAAAAGGACCTGAAAGGCCCTAGTGCTATCCATAAGACAGTAGCATTTTCTGCCTTTTTGCACTTTTCTAAAGCCTACTTTAATTTGGAATCTCAAGGCATTGATCGATGACCGTCGAGCGTGAAGGTACTACCCGGCGGATTTTTTAAGTGGGTCCATAACGTGTTCATATCAGATACACACGTATCCCCCGGTAGAGCCCGTGTGACATCCCTCCCATCTTTCCCATCTTTCGCATGTAGGCCTGGTGGTGACTCATGTATAAGATCAACACATTTTTTAGTAAAGAATCGATTAAACATTTAAATTTTTTCTTTCCAGATTCATCACAATGGATCCTCGAGTAGACGATGAAGCACCAAAGGATCCAGCGGCTTATCACAAACATAAGCTTCCTTTTGATGAAAAGGATTTTGAAGGTACGGATATCTGTATGATTTAGGACCGAAATATCTATAATATGCCTACTCAAAATAGATAACTGAAAGCAGTTTTCCTTGGATAACCTTTGAATAACGAATAAGAGCTATGAACCCAAGAAAATATTTAATTTATTCCGTTTGACAGAGATTGATTAGCCAAATGCGTAGCCATCATATCATGCTAAGAAATTGTCCAGAGATCAGATCATACTCGCCTCCCATACATACAGTTATGTTAATCTTTTGAAAATAAAGTAAGTAGATTCGTGGATATCTATAATTAAGTTTTCACTCTTATCCAGCTTGTCTAATTGCATTCATATTATGTCTACGTACGTTTTAACATTGTTTTAATGACACCGTGTGGAGTACACCGCAATGCTTGGATAATTGAGAAAACCGGAATTTCTAACGTAGTGCATGCATTTTCATGCACATCAATACAGTCATGAACGGAGAAAAGTTGTTTTTTAAAAGTACGTTTAGTTTGGGTTCGGTTGGGGCCCATTGGTATCGGGGAGTAGTACACTAAAAAATAATTGGACTGGAATATTAAACTTTAATAATTACACTAATAATAGAAGTAATAATAAGAATAAATCGCTTTTATTATGGGGCGAAGTTTAGCGTAATGCTACTACTCTGCCACTTAGCCCCAAAAAAACTGAAATATAAAAATCTTTGACAAGTTATAAGTACGTTAAAATGTAGGTGTATACAAATATGATGTATACAAAATACTTACAAGAGAAGGATATCCAATATTTCAGGTTTTAAAAGTATACCTATACGTACACTGTAACAGTTATACAAACAAAAAATGTTATATTGGAATATTTGCGTGAGGTGACAGATAAATTTTAGCAACTGATTTATGTATTCCTATTCCAAAATAAATTTCTTCATATGTCTTTTGAATTCGTCATATAATAGTTATTTTGTGGCTCGAGGTTTATCATTGTAAAAAATAACTGTGTTGTATGTGGAGCATTTACGAAAGAATGATGTCCTGTGAAGGGGTTTTGTGAGTACCTGCGTGAATCGAATGTCTCTAGAAAGAATATTGCTTCTAGATATCAGCTTATTTTTCAAAAAGGGTCTAAGTAACTAAGTGGAGCTCACGCGGCTCTTTTACTCTCAACCATTCCATGTCTTTGGAAAAAGAGCTGATATGATCATATTTTTTCAAACTATGGATCAACCTTCAACATGAATTTTTTAACTTTCTGGAGACTGTGAAATACATTGAACGGAGAAATGGAAGATAAACTAAATCGCAATAACTAATTCTGGACATTACCAAATACATATTCACAAATCATTTTTTTAGTTGTATAGTCAATAATTGCTTATTAAGATATAATTGACGTAAAATGGAAAAACAACCCTTACTAATATTATTTACATGTGGTACAAAATTTAGACATTCTAAAGTTAGGCCCAAGTTTTTTGCTGACTAACTTCTATAGTCTCACTATTTATGTTTGTGTTAAAATTCTTTCTGGCATCGCTTCTAAACAGTTTTGGTGACAATGTCTTTCATCTTTAAATGGTACAACTGAATGTTAAGATTCTTTGCATACATGCTAATAGATTTTATATCTTCATTTACCTCACATTCGGCACTTTGAATGTGAGGTAAATCAGCAATACACAAAATGAGTAGGAGTGGGCGAGTGGGACACCTGGAAGGAAAGAGGCACTTTGGAGACAAAACCATGTCAATGTGTGCTTTTTAATATCGATTTAATAATAAACATATTGGAAGAAGAGTCAGAAAAAACATATTTTTACACTTGGATAGTAGAAGGCGATACTTTGTGGTATCGAATGACTTAGAGAAGTCAAGAAGAACTAATGCAGGCTCTAACAATATTATCGGTTAAATCTAATAGGGCACTTACAGTGTTATATCCTTTTCGATAACAGCATTGTTTGGGAGGCAAAATTTTATATTTAACGTAAATTTGGGTGTACATTGCTTTTTCCAATAATTTCGAAAACACGGGTAAAATACTAATTGCTCTCAAATCAGAATATAATGCTTCCTCCATTATTCTGAAAATAATCCCCTAAGTAGATATATACAGGGTGGCCCATCCAAGTGTGGACGGAATATTACTCGTAAAATAATACATTTTGGAAAAAACTATTTATGGCATATTATACATGACATTTGAAGGCCCATTTCATAAAATTTTGCAATTATACAGGGTGTCCCAATTTTGACCTACATATCAAAGTTGTGATTTTTTAAATAGAATGCCTGAAATGTTATTGCATATTTGGATAAACTAATTCAAAAGAAGAAGATTGATATAACATACTATGGGGTTTTGGTAATTAGCTACTGAGATGTGAGGTGTTTTGTCCAGAAAAACCGTCTACTTCGGCAACCCCTCAATCCGCCATTTTGAAATTTGGTATGCTGAATTTTGTATCAAAAAAAACTTAGACACCTCAGCTTTTATCTTATTTGTTACTTTTTCGAATTTTAATTTTTGCTGATGCAGGGTGGTCAAAAACGTACTTTTTCTAGAGAATTTCAAATGAATTACCCTGTATATTTGTGCAAGTTTGGATTCAAGCTTTTTCTTTGATATAAGGTCTGATTCAGATAAAATCACCAGATTTTGGGTTATTAAGCTTTTAATAGAACAACACACCAAAATTAAGAAAAAAAATCACATCATCCATGGAAACAAAAGACAAACAATGGGCTAGTTCCGTTCCATATTGCCACTAAGAGTACAGATTTGACGTAAAAATTAATAACAATCAGAACAATATTCAGCTTCAAGCGTAATAGGGAAAAACAACTATAACAACAACATAAACAAACAACTATCACTACTCAAGACCTAATCTACAAAACTGCTCGGAAATATCTCCACCATGTTAAATAAACATCTTTGGATAAATGACCGTCGCACATCCCCCAGCATGGGTTCCCTTATGTTCAGAAAAGCATCTTTAATCCTTTCATTCATATTTTACGGGGTAGATGGTGGATATCTATAAACCACTTGCTTAACGTAGCCTCATAGAAAGAAGTCTATCGGTGTCATATTTGGTGATCTAGGAGGCCAAGATATAGGCTCATCACGACCGATCCAACGATTGTTACTCCAGGTGTCCAAATAGTTACGCACACGATTATGATAATGAGCAGCCAAGATGTAGGCTAAGATAGAAGGCGAGATGCTAGGAAACTATTTTACTGGGCTTCGCCCAAAACTAACACCATATTCACCATTTCTTCTTTAGAAAAATTAATTTTCAAACCCGATTTTAATAATAATGCTCACAAAGCTAATTTTGACAGTTTATAACTAATCAACAATTTATTTGTTTCCAAGGATGATGCGATATTTTGGGGAATTAAGCCGTTCCATAAAAGACGTGCTAATAACTGAAAAGATAGCCGTAAAAACCCTTATGTGTCTGGTATCAAAAAAAAGCTTATAAAAAATTGAATCCAAACCCGAACAAATATACAGGGTGATGCATATGAAATTTTTGAGAAAAACTACAATTAGCGTTTTTGACCACCCTGTATGAGCAAAAATTAAAATTCGAAAAAGTAACAAATAGGATAAAAGCTGAGGTGTGTAGTTGTTGTTGTTGTTGGTGTCTTCTTCTCTTGAATTGGTTTATCCAAATATGCAATAAAATTTGTGGCATTCTATTTGAAAATTTACAATTTTGATATGTAGGTCGAAATTGGGACACCCTGTATAATGGCCAATATTTTAGAAATGTGCCCTCAAATGTCATGTATAACATCCCATAAATAGATTTTCCCAAAATGTATTTGTAATATATTTGTTTATGAGTAATATTCCGTCCACACATGGATGGGCCACCCTATATATATATATATATATATATATATACAGTGGTTTTCTTTAATGTCCCCCTCCCCTTTGATTTCCTGAACAGATCAATTCAAAAAATTAAAACTTGAGGTAATGAAATTGATGCGTAGATACCATATTTTAGAGTAAAATTGACAGATGAAAATGACAAGATGGCCGCTGAGCGCCATCTTGGAAAAAAAATTATATGAAAACGGCGGTCATTTTGAAGCTCCTGACTGGTACTTCAAAACCCTAGAATATAAAGCCAATACCTTTACCTACTACAAAATGGTGGCACATTTAATAATCACTTGAACACAAACCCACTAACATGCATATAGTCGAAATCTCATTTCAGTCTGTAGTAAAGACAAACAACAGCGATTTGTGAATATTTTTAATGAAGTTTCTCAGATATTTTAGACAGAGTCAAACAGAATTTTATTGTCTTAACAATCTGTATTGCTAATTTGCATGTATCCGACAAAGATAGACGATGTTTTCATGTTGCATGATCGATCATATTTGAAAGATGAATAGTTAGGTTATGTTAAAGCAGGTTAGGTTGTTTTCGAATAATACTTTAGTCTTTGGTGTTCCTGTCTTAAGGTATTCTACTCATAACTGTTCTTTTCATAACAAAAAATCCCCACTAAAATTATTATTAAGGTATCACTCAAAACCATGAAATAAAGAGAAAATAAAAATAATCCGGGAAATAACCTAACTTCGCAAAATCATAAAATAAATTTGTTGTCAATATGTTCCTGACATCGTGATTTTATCATCGACGTACGTCCATTGATTACTTCAGTACAATTTATGGTATGACGTAATAGTCATCTTTCATGATTTTGACTATATCTCAACAAATAATTGTAAATCCCTGCCGTATCCACAGCAACAGCGATAAAAACTCGTTTTCTTATTTTTTGTTGACAGTGACAAGAATATCAGTACGAACAAACATCATTGTGAAGTTAAAATATTCTTATTTAGTTTTCGGTTTTAGTGCTAGATACTGTTTGACCTATTTTTAAAATGGTCAATTCTTGTCCATTTGAAGAAAAAATCGAAGCGATTTTTATTTATGGTGCGACGCGTAACTTTCAGGAGACCGAAAGGATTTTTAATGAT